TTGGTGTTGAGGCCACTGAATTCAGAAATATTAAGGTTCCTTCTTTATTGCTTCCCGTCTTTTTATTGAAATCCTTGTAGCGTTTGATCCATGTTTCAAACAACAGTTTTACTGCTTGTGATACAATGTATTATTTCAATGTTTATTGACAGCATATTGCTTTATTGACATTAATAAACATCAGCGATGCAAATATCAGTGATAAAACTTTTTCTCTTTTACTTTAACGTTTCTGTGCCGGAGAGCAAAATAACAGGAAATCAATCCCGTTATTCCACTGGCCAATTGGCTTTAGGGGGAACTCAGGCAATCATTTCAGACAGTAAAGGAATGATCGATCACTTAAACATGTATGATATCATGGTTACAGAGTTGGATTTCTGGTTCTCCACCTCGGTTTTGTCGTACGTTGCCCAGACCGCACCCACCCCGCCTACTCATTTTATGGGGGTTGTAAAGTGATACAGTGAGTGGTTTCACAATGATAATAACAGGCTGTAAAAGCAATTCCTGGTCTGTCATTAGGCCTTCATTAAGTTTAATTGGCTTGACACCTACTTCTGTGTGCGCGCGTGCGTGTGTGTGTTTGTGTGTGTGTGATAGTAGGCGCAGTAACCTCAAATGGATAGTTTATGTTTCATTGGTAAAGTAAGTCTTCTCTGTAGTTCATCATATCAGCTGTTTGCAACCCTTCTTCATGGAGGGAATGTGTGTCTGTTGTAATTGTACGCATACACTCTATAATCTATTGATTATATTTCTAAACCATGAAGAAAACACGAAAGATCATTACTTTTTTTTAAAGATTTGAGGAGGTCTTGTAAGCCATCTACCTCTGTGTGTCAGACAGGACAGTGAGCTCCATTATCAGTTTGAACAGAACCCTGTTTTGTCATTTTTTTAAATTGAAATCCTTTAAATAACAACCACGTGTTATCAGTTTGACATCTTGTCTTGCTTGTCCCTGTCCATCAGTGGTGTCCACTGTGGACTGATCTTCTCCAAAGAAGAAAAGTCAATGACAAACAATCAGTGCAGGGGTGGACCGAACGTAGCCCATCTCTACCGCGGCTTCATCATCACCCCTTATCCCTTCTTTTCCGAATTTCCCTACTCAATTCCGTGGGATTTGACGGGTCGGGTGTGTTCGTCTGAGGAGTAGCTGGAGGCTCCGGCGGCTCTCAGTCTGCTGTTTCTGCTGCTGTGTATGTTGCAACCAGGCCGCCGTCTTACTCCATCCTTCATCATCGTGCTCTTTTGCCTCTCCACTGCACCCCGCACACACATTCACACACACACATGACCAGTTCTTCATGCACTCTCTGCTTGCCCTCGTCCATAAATCTTTAACACCATGCAGCTCCGTCGTCTCCTCCCAGAACAACTTGGGACATCTCTGTGCAAAACAGATTTTTCTTTGGTTTTATTTTAAAAAGCTTTCCCGTCTTTTTTGGCTCAACTGTTGCTGGACGAAGAACATACCTCTACCACTTAATATGTCTTTGAGGCAGCGAAGACGAGGGTGCAAATGGGCTGTAGGAGGAACATCACACCCACACCTCCAACCCCGTACTCTCATACACATGTTCTCTCCCTCTCCACAGAGCATTCAGGCAGAACGGATTGCCATGTAAATGCACCAGTGAATCGGAATGAATGGACAGGCTTAAAGCAGATTATGTTAAACTGCTTGTTAGTTTAAAGACACGCTGAAGTACATTGCTGGGGATTAGCAGATGTGCTGCTGTGGCACAGAGGTGTTTCTCTAAAATAGTAGTTAATCCCTTGTCTGTTAGTCAGTCCGCACATCAAATAAAGGGATAAGGCTTCCAAACGGTGAACCAGGAAAAGGTAAATTGGTATTTAAATCCTCTGACGCAGATGGAAATCCCTCCATAGAGATTAGGTATTTGGAGAAAAAAAAATGTAGGTAGGAAGGTGCAAGTATGTTAAGTCCATTTACATGTTTTTGGCATTGCTGAGTCTAGAACTGCTGTGTGCATTTCCAAACGAACACAATGATGTGAAAGTGGGCTTGTTTTTTTTGTTATATTTGGAAAAGTTGACGGTTCAAGGTTTTATCTAAGACGCTATCAACATCTTCTAAACCAGTAAAGGAAATCCTTTAATTCATTCAACGGTCTTGACATTTGCAGATGCCAGTTTGAGGATTTGAGGAATCAGACGGGGCCGAAAAAATCCTAATAGTAACCGTCCTGCAACCTGGAGCCGCTGCTTTGGCCTCGCGTCCGTCAAGCAGCAGATCCTGGTAAAGATGAGAGGAAGGAACACGTATCATTAGGCATTTGGTACATTAAAGGTCTGCTCCCAGGGGGCTTTGCTTTGGTGCCATTGTTATGTGATATTCTGTGGGTTACTTACTAAAACTCCTCAGCACTCATGAACACTTTATGTGCTTTCGCGTTCCTACGGCCTCGGCGACATTCAGTGCTCTGAAAGCAAACTTCACTTGCTTTTACGTGTTGACACTGACAGCTGCTGCACTGTGAAGGTGTTGTGTTATGACAAGCTGTCAAAAGTGAAGTGCGAATTAATTCTGAATTGAAAGCATATTGACCCCCCCACTCCTCCCTGGGACACATTATTTGAATGTGTAAAGGGAGCTTGAATGCCATTAACATATTAAAACCACAAGCAGTCAGTCAAAAAGGGTTTTATACTCCACAATCAAATGTCGAAGCAACTTGTGTTTAGGCCTAAACTAGAAATTCACCCTCCTCCCCTCCTCTTCCCATCTTCACCTCTCCCCTCACTTCTCAATGAAAAGTCACCTTCTTCCATTTATTATCTGTCCTTCGCATACATTTCCTTGGAAACGTCTCGGACAAACCTCGTTCTTTTCTGATCGCTCCTTTTGTTTCTCCTGTCACAAGTCTTTTCTTTAGTCTTCCTTTTCTTTAAGTTTTACTGCTCATCCCTCGGTTGTGAGGGTCTCATCCATTCATCATAGGCCCAGCATGGGGGTGACACTACGGAAGAATAGCATGGGGGTGTGTGTGTGCGCGCGTGTGTGTGTGCGTTTATCTCATTATTTGAAGATACTTTAAAGTAACCATTTTCAAAGGGGTCATTCCTCAATTTGCATATGATGACCTGCCCTGCAGAAAATCCCTCTACAGACGTTACACACACACTCACACACACACTCACAAGCACTCGCACATGCGGCTTTGCAGCTAGTGGGTATTGGGGGCAAATGCTGTCACAGTTTTTGAAAGGCTTCCCGCGGTTAGACATGCTTGAAATGACATTCACTGGAGGAGGGGAGTAGCAAAGGGGAGGTGGAGGTGGAGGGGGAGAGCTGGTGAGTTCCAAAAAAACTAACAAATGCAGGGTGATGCGTGTGATTTTACACATACGGGACATAACAAAAGTCTCTTCTTGTGCAACATTTGAGTATATTTATGTTCTCACCGCCCTAAAACAAAGCGGTAAGTTGGTAACTATGAGCACCGTAGAAGAGTCCCTGATATTTACACATTCATTTTTATTGTTAACCTACCAAGATTGAGGCTACAGTTTTTTTTTAATGGGTGGCTTCCTCCATCCATCTGGTCTCCAAATCTAGAAGTGTGCTAAATATCAGTAGCTGCTTTGCTGGAAACAGGGATGTGCTTCTAAGAACGCGTCTGGATCTCGTTCCTGTGGGAAAGGGGCTCGAGAGAGGAGGAGATGAAGGGAGGAAGAAGAAGAAGAGGGTCCGACTGTTTGTTTTGCAAGTGATTTTTTTTTTTTCCTCTCATTGATGATCGAGTGAGCCGCGCCGCTTATTGTTTGTCACTAATGAACAACGTGAACCAGTGTGAGAAAGAAAAGAAGCGCAGAGAACAGCGGCGGCTACAAGCGAGACGGATTAACGTGAAAACAAAAAACGTTTGCCTCCATATTTAACCTCAAAACTTTAAACTCAGCATTTTATGTTGCTTGTGCAAGCTGCTTGTTTCTCAGTGTTCTCTCAGATCTGTGAATGCTTTTTGGCTAAAAGCAAAGTGTCCCGAGCACACACAGTTACATCCACATGCCTTCCAGGCAAGAGGATGGCTCTGAAAAGGAAATGGTCTATTACAGCGTCTCATTCGTTCATTAGTATAAAAGCTTTGGGGCGAGGGTGGTGTCCTCTCTGACAGCTCCTTTTGAGGTGTCTCTTCCAGCCACCTGACGTGTTTACAGAACACCACCGCACGCGGAGAGATGAATTGTCAAAGATTTTACCGGAATCCATAAACAGGATTACCGAATGTGTCAAAACACCTTCATCTCGATCGAGTAAAAAAGAACATTTCGGCTGGTGACATGAAGTGAAGAGACGCGTCCAACGCTGCTGCAGGTGGTTCTTTGTTGCAGGCTTCTTCCGGTCTTCTCTCAGAGCACATTTTAAGAAGACTTCTCTCGTGTCAAAACAAAAATCCCCTTTGTTTTCGCAGACTTGAAATCCTTGCTTGTAATCACTTCGCCACTCGGGCTGCTGCTCTGGAAAAGAGCCTCTCACACAGCGGCTGAACGTCCAAACCTCAAACGGCCACAGTTATGAACACACACGCCCGAGCCCCAAAAACCTGATAATGGAAAGAAATGCGATTGATGGTTTTGTTGTCTTATTCATATTGTTTCATGTTTTGCCTTATTTTTTCCCTTTTCCTAATCTCTACTATGTTTTACCAACCAATTAACTCCAATTGGCTTCTACTAAAACACTATCTTAAGAGTCAAAGAACAGCTTTCATCCATTATTATTCATAGATATCCGGCACTGAATCCCCCAAATCCTGCTGCTTTTTTTCAATACCCTCCTCCTACTTTTTACTAAACCCCATCTAGCTCCTGTCGGCTCCCTGCCCCCCTTTTTCTTCCCACTCATATCCTGTGTGAGTCGGTGTGTGTGTGTGTGTGTGTGTGATCAGGTCAGCCCTCCCTACTTGCCAAGTGAAGTTAACTCCCCTTTCTCTCTCCCTCTCTCTCCCTCTCTCTCTCTCTCTCAGCTGGGCTGCTACTGTCAGACCGGGTTGGAGGACGATCAACTGGGACCACTGCTGCTGCCGCTGCTGGTGTGTTTTGTGTGGCGTGGACTTTCTCACGTTGCGGTGGGCAAACGCACACACACACACGCGCGTGCACACGTTCACACAGAGGAGCTTGCATACCCGGTACTCCTCCTCCCACCGCTCCCACTGGCCCTTGCACACTCACCCTTGGAGGGAGAGGCAGAGCGCTGGTGGAGGACCCCCGTCGGGTGGACTGTGCTGAAGAGCAGAAGCGGAGCGGGAGCAACACACTCCACCATGCCGGTGCAGGGAGGAAGGCTGAAGCGATGCCTCGCTCTCAGCCTCTGCGGCCGGAGTCCTCTGCTGTTGCTCGTGCTGTTGTGTCTTCACACTCAAGCACGGGGTGAGTTACGGCAAAACGTTCTCTAACGCGCAACATTCGGGGGGGGGACGTTTGCTCGACTTTGCTCTGAATTTCCCTCTGTGATTGTTGATCCATCGCCTCACAGCAGACCGTGTTTGGTGTTTTTGTCCCCTCTGCCCGTTGAAAGTTACTTTTGGAAGTTGCAGGTAAAATCTTTAAGCAACTGGTGATGACAGTCGGTTTTAGAAGTCAGCTTCAAAACTGACATGACCTTAAACATGGAACGTGCGAGGCATTTAAGACAAGAATATTTAAAATACATATTATAATACAAACAGATTTTCCTATGCTATTAACGTGGCAAATCAACACGCTATTACTGCAACCGACCACACAAAAATACATTGAGTCATTGAGACTTGAAATGTTCTTATTACCTTGTCACATTAAATGACTTAATATTTCAGTGGAGTTGCTCTGAGATTCACTTTATTATTCAAACAATCAGAAATACAAATATTGTCTTGGACCCTCATTGTTGCCGTCGGCCTCATCAGCCGCTTTGTCTGTGACCATGTTTGGTATCTGCAGTGTGTTCAGCGAGGTGTTGGAGAGAGTGTCGGATTTAATCGTCTGCCATGTTTAATGCTGTGATGCGTGTCATTGAGGTTCGATGCTCTGCATCTGTTGTTTTTCCGGCACGTAAGGTTTATCAACGGCTCAGCGGTCCTGTGTGTTGTTTTGATTAAAAGACATTATTGGTAGAATTCAAATGAGTGTGTGTGTGTGTGTGTGCGCCTCAAACAGAATACAGGTTTGGATAATGTTTGTTATAAATGATAGTGGCCGTGCATGTTTTCCTTTTCTTTCTCTCTTTATTGTTGGTCTATTTGAAGTCAGTGGAGGCGGTTTCAGCTGGGAGTCGTGGAGTTAAGCCAGCAGAGGCTCATTCCTTATTCCTTAGTGTGCTGGGGTCATCCTGTGACCTCTGGCTGCACGTCACCCCCTCTTTCTCGTCCATCTTCCCTGTCATTGAGTTGGCTTCTCTGAGGGCTCCGTGCTGTGTTACCCTCTTCTTTCCATTGTTCTCTTTGCTCGCAGATTCAGGTTTATCATTTAGAACTTAGCGTCGGAAGAAACACCAGGGATTTGGGAGGCCGTGTGTATTTTATCTTGCACACAAGTAGACGTGGACTCAGACATAAGACATTTCCTTACTGTCTTACGCTCAATTCAACTGGCTGCTATTTCAAAGAAGCTGTGAAAGCGTCAGTTGTCGTGAAAATGTGATGCAAATCCTCCTGATATCCACCGGATCTGAGTTGAATACTGACGGAAAACATGAATTTGTTCATCTGAGTTCTGAGTGCTCCAGCATTCACCCCAATTTCCCAGATTAATGGTCGACCTGCCCTCACTCTTGGCTCAGTCTGAATAATCTACTGAATTATTTTGATACTGAAAGAATATTAGTATGTTTCACACTACAAAATCCAGACACGGTGAACAAAGACAGCTTGGATGCTTTCTGTTCATGTTTCCAATGCGAACTGGAGTTTTCTCACACGAAATGCTCCGCGGTCATTAAAGTCGAATCAGGTGTGCTCAAGCAGTTCCTTGTAGTCAATATATTCAAATAGCATTTTCCCCGAAGGCCTGTTTGCAACTCTCTCACCTATTAACACATAGTTGATTGATTGGACCGGCGACAGGCTCATTCAGTTGTTGACATACAGATGATTGATTGTCCTGACAATAGAGTCAACCGTGAGAGGGACTTATTTGTTTTCTAAACAACATATGTGTAAAAAGAGATGAAGCAGGGAGAGAAAAACGTTACGCATCAGGTCTATCCGTACCTCGATTTCTCCTTCTGGGTCTTTTTTTTCCGCTGTATTCTGCCTGTTTCTTGCAGTCGTGGACGCTGGGTAGAGTGAAAGGCCGACGTGGTCAGCCGGTGTTTCCTCCTCCGATAGCCGCAGGTCAACTGGAGACATCATGCGTTTCTGCATGAGACACAATGTCCACGCCATTGTCGCAAATGAATTGACACGTTCATTATTCTCGAAGGACAAATGAGAGCCGTTTGGAATGTGGACACTTATGCACGCTTTAAAAAATCTTCCTCAGGCGCACACACACACACACACACATATTCTGTGACCTTCCACCTACGCCAGACTGCAGCCTTCAACGTGAGTTCGGGGGATGTGTGGAGTGAGCGTGATAGCTTACATTTCATTGTCCTTGGTGGAAATAAGCACCGCTGTATCAGTTTTCTCAGTCAAAGCTTTGCCAGTTGCTTTGCTTTCGTCACTGCTCGCTAATGAGACTACGTGGCTAACGGAATTAAAACACCCACTCTGTTTTGTTTGAAATCTGTCTCTTCCGACTACAGAGAATGTGCCGTGCTCTCCGCACTGTCGCATCCGACTGTGATCTGTTTTTAGGTTTCATGCGTCCTTCTTGTATTATGTCAGCTGTTACACGCTGTCGTTTGACACATCTACTTGAAAATTGTGTTAGCCGTGGTGTTAAAAGAGGCTGTTCGTTATTTGCATTTATTTATCGTCAACCACAATGAAATCGGCGACTCTCGCGGCCGGCACGTGGGACGGATTCACTCTGAGCTCGCAGGAAGCCTTTGACGGAGGTGGCATTTCTAAAGTAAGAGAAATCCGTTTAGAGAGAAGAGAAGCAGATGGTGTGCGAGCCGAGTGCTCGCGCTGCTTTCTGCTCTGCAGCCTCAGAGCGGACAGAATGAGTCCCCTCAACTGGAAACTGATACCTAAAACTATTAATCTTTTGGCTGTGAAGCTGAACTGGTGAGGTGTTGCTGGCAGATTGATGAAAACAAATTGTTGGTGTCCTGAGGTAAACCCACACCTTAGATTTGGGCTTTTTTAAATTTTTAAATTTCACAGCTGGGCCCAGAAAATGGTGGTCTTCCCCAAGTACGCGTCTGTACGGGTGCAGGTTAACCAGGCGGGACCAGAAAAGGCTGCACTGGTGGCAGGAATTCAACATATAAGGGTTCAGTGACAAAGCAGTGACATATATATGGGGCTGTGATATGCGATATTTGGCACAGCCCACAGTTGTGTGTGCGAGGGGAAAAAAATGTGATCTTGAAATGACCTCCAAAAGGTTGAAGGTAAGAGGGAAGCGAGGAGAGTTTTGGATTGAGGAGTATTACATCCTGTAATGGATACAGATCCAGTAACTTCTGTCCCAGATTACCGGTCTGGCCCTGACTTCTTAAGACACAGCTGGAGCAGGGGAAGTGTGTGTGTGTGTGTGTGTGTGTAAAGCCTCATTCCCACTGGACAGAAATCCCACCACCACTCCCTAACATCTGGTATTTTTCTCCAGTGGGAAAGGTAACCATTGGCATTCATTCCCGGGACAAATGACTCTGCAGTAGTCGCAGGTATTTATTGGCTCCAGCTGCGGTCGACCGTGGTGGAAAAATGTCACCCGGATTGAAATTGAAATGTTACGTCTGGTCCAATGCAGTGCCGTGTGAGGCTCGTTCATTCGAACGATGAACAGATCGACCGGCATTTGGACGATGTTCACACGTAATAACGGTAAAAACGAAATGTACCAAAACAATGTTTGTTATCGTTCCCACTTTGAACATGATGATTGTCTACAGTGTGCCTGTTTTGCTCAAGCACTATGCTTCATAGAAAAAGAAGTGTGGACCTAATGATTTAAAAAAGAAATGTATTTAAATTTGCCTTGAGATTTAGGATTTAAATGGTTGGGTTTAAGATTGACTTATTCCTCGGCTACAGTGTCGTGCTGGAGCTAAAGTTGGCAGTGCTTCACAGTGCTAATTCATTGTGGTACAGCGTCCGTTACGATTCTCGGCGTTTACATTTAAAAGCGGTACTATTGTTGTTGCTAAACACTAAAGTAGCTGTGGTTACTGTTGGGAACCACAGTGTTATTTTCCCTCTGTGAGCTGAACAGTGCAACATGAAACAATGATGGACAGACAACAGGTGACAGCAAAGGGCGTTAGGACTGTGAGGGCTTAGGGTTTCCATGCTTTTGCCCCCCCCCCCCCCCATTAATACCCACCCGTCCACCCACGGACCATTTTGGGGATATGGGAGGGTGTCCAGAGAAAGAGAGAAAGTAGTGATGTTTTCCACGGGTTATTCAATAAATGTGAACAATATTCAGGATCCTTCCTCTAAATTAAGCTCATGCTAAAGTCAAGGATATATATATATTTTTTTACTCATTCTTTATATATTAAAACATGTTGTTAGTTTTAGGAGCCTAAAATAAATTGGTGTGATTAATGAGTTGATCACAGGAGAAAAGTAGAGCGGAGTGAATGAACCAGCTACTCTCACTGTGGAAAAATGAATAAATCCACAGGCTGTGATTCAGGGTCATTTGTGGCTTTCAGGATGCTCACTTTTAAGCAAATGGCTTTGCAATACAGACAATCATCATACGCTATGATAAGTATCTAATGGCTGTTGAGATGGGAGTGTGTGTGTGTGTGTGTGCGTGTTGCCGACAGCGTGTTTGTCCAGTGAGATAGTACAGAGGAGGCCTGGAGCCACTGGTGGTTGATATGTGACTTAGTTAATGGGAAGCTAATCACACGGAGGAGACAGGGGGACGCACACAACTGTAAACAGGCTGTACAACACACCAGGGACGATCTCTCACACACACACACACACACACACACACACACCTGTACGTGTAGCGATGCGTTCTCGTCGTGGATGTTTAGTGAATACGCGCTAATGTTCACATTTCACACAGTCTCCACACATTAATAGGAAAGGCACTAATGTCCTCCCACAGTGCACACACACAGCGCATGCACACACACAGCGCATGCATACACACAGCGCATGCATACACACATTCCGTATACACACACGCAGCCTCTAAATGGATGGCAAGTGATTGTTTAAGCCTGTGGAGATGACTGAGACGCCACAGACCAGAACGCTGGGAAATAAACACATGGCAGCTGTAATGGGAACACCGTCATCCCTCCACAC